TTTATGGTCTCCACTGTGATCATTTTGAGCTGATTACAGTAATATTTCAAATGGGGAAATACATACTTCCCGAGGTATCCAAATCATTTTTTAAGTACAATTTCAGAAGCAAATTAAAGTTTTAAGTAGACGGCCTTCGGACTTGGCATACGACTTTCATCTATGGATAAGCGCATGCATGGCAACGCAATCAAAATAATTTTGTAAACGCAATTTCAGAATTACATTAATGGGTTTTAATTAGCCGAACAAAGCGATCATAATGTGGTCCTAGTGGACCTGCTTAAGACGAGATATGGACATTTATGACTTTCTCCTACGGGTGTTTCTTCTATTGATAAATGCCGACGCCATAGAATGTATTTTGAATACAACTATACCGGACTTTGAAAGCCCTTAGATTTGTATATTCCGTAGCGAATCAAAGGTTATGCAAAACTGCTTCGTTTTTTTTTTTTTTTTTTTTTTGATACAAAATAAAAATTTATTTGTGGAATGTAGTGTGTGCGCTAAATACTCTTATCATAGAATCTGCGGGCATATCTTCACAATGACGAATATGTTGTTATTCTAATATGTGGATGTATGTTTATATGTATGTATCCATATAAACACCATAGAGCATAGCGACTTTCAGGTCTCTCCGCCCCGACAAATCAGGTGAGCAAACAGCTGTTGTTAATTTTTTTATGAGTTTCTCGTAGCTCATGACTAATGGGGAACTTTGTCTTCAAACGTCATGCTCTACATTCTTAACACATTCAAACAGTATACATAATATTAATTGAACACAAAACACTTCGCTCCATTTCGTAGAAAAAGATCCACATTATACTGTCACGTCATCTCTCTTTAAATGGATGACATGTCGCTGGTAAAGGGGGAAAGGGAGAAAGGGGAGCCCTTTATGTGAGAGTGCGGTTCCGTCCAAGAATAGAGACACTTTGCAACCAAATACAATTTGTACAAAATATTACCTTAACAAAATATTCCTTTCAGCATATGCCACAAATTTCAGCATTGCAAGTAAAATGTAAAGTGCAGTTTTTCTTCTTACCTTCAGGGCAAAACTCGTCCTAGCTGTGTTATCGGGCAAATGTATTTATTGTTATAATACGAGTATGTTCAAGACTAAAAATCAAATTAAGAACAACCTTTTCTGCCAACAAATAATCCAATTCTTAAAAATATTACGCTTCAACTTCAACCGACTGACAAATAAAACCAAAATCGTGTATTAGAAATTATTCAACTGCATGAGTGTTGTTAAATCGAAATGTACTTGCGAACCAACTACCTGAGTTACTTAGTTCATTCCCAAGTAACCAAATATGACAAATCATTGCAGATTGAATAGGGTAGTTCCCATGGTACTAAGATATCAAGGTGTTTTTAATAACAGTACGTTTATATTTCCGTAATCTACTAGATTTAAAATTTGAATCAATTTTATGTACGTTTACATTGTACTGGTTTTCGTTAACCCAGTGGATTTAAATTGCCAATTTCTTTAAAAATAAATTCTTAAGAATATTACGCTTCAACTTCAACCGACTGACAAATAAAACCAAAATCGTGTATTAGAAATTATTCAATTATTCAACTGCATGAGTGTTGTTAAATCGAAATGTACTTGCGAACCAACTACCTGAGTTACTTAGTTCTTTCCCAAGTAACCAAGTAAGTAAGTAAGTAAGTAAATTTTTTTATTGAGTCTTCTTCTTATTTCGATAACATGGTTAATGTAAAGTAAAATGATGACATGATAATTTAGAACTATATTTGTCTTATTCTAATCCAATAATTAAATGCATCGATGCTACATGCTTAAAATGAATATACGGAAATGCGTACGTGCAAAATGAATGAAGAGCAAGGCTTGCTCACGGCCTTAACATTTTTTAACAGAGCGTGTGTGTCTGTAGATAATAAATAACTTAAAAATACATAACAATTAAAAAGAGATAACAAGAGACTGTTAATATCTTTATCAAACAGCGAGTATGTTAGATGAACATATGGTAAAAAAAGTATGTATGTGTAAATATCACAGATGGTGTTTAGAAAATATATGTCAAAACAAAACACATAAATTAAAACGAAAGAGCATAACTCAAAAATTGAATTTATAAATATAATTTTATAAATATAGATATATATGTTTATAATGTTTAGCCTCTGTGGGCTCTTTGTGTTCTTTGTGTTGGCTTATAAAAATCAGGTACATTACAATTGTCTGGATCAATGTCGAGGCTTTCGTTGATAATGCCAATGGCAGATAAATATGTTGAATTTGACCAAGATACGTGTTTTTCCGTTTCATATATAGAGTTGATAATAGGATTTTCGTGTGACTCTAGCCCATCTACAAACTTCTTTAAGAGATAGAATGCGTGTTGGCAGAAAGGTTGGACTCCAGCTTTACCATAAATGTGAGTGTTTGAAAACTTCTTTGTCGGGTTTTCGTAATGTTGATTTATACATTTACGTAGGATATAACGTTCAAATATCTCCACTTCTTTGGCCACAGTAGGAGAGATAGTGAACCAAATGGGAAGTCCATTATGCCCAAGTAACCAAATATGACAAATCATTGCAGATTCAATAGGGTAGTTCCCATGGTACTAAGATATTATGGTGTTTTAATAACAGTACGTTTATATTTCTGTAATCTACTAGATTTAAAATGTGAACCCATTTTATAGTAAGTTTACATTGTACTGGTTTTCGTTAACCCAGTGGATTTAAATTGTCAATTTCTTTAAACATATGTCAAATAAATCATCATAAAGGAGGTTAATCCGGTAAAAATATCTAATGTAAATGCTGTTTTAGAGATTCTCAACAAACCACATGGGTAAATACAAATTTATCTGAGTGGCGTGACGTCTAAGTGCAAGTTTTTTTTTTTTTTTGCACTAGAGTATTTCCAGTGCCAAAGTGTGCCGCTCGATGCACTTTACTATGCAAAAACCCTAAAAATGGCTAAAAATCATGCAACGTGCACACGATTTTTATGTGGGTCCGATTTCAGCAATCTCCTATGAAAATACACAAAAGGACACCTATTTTAAAAGGATCGGTTAACAACCGCCGATGTGCCTCCACAATCGATTTTGGATAAAATACGCATATTATTCGCGTATCGATATATTTTTGACCTATTTTCACCAAGATTCGCGAATATGATAACACAAGAATGAATGTATGTGAAATCAATTCGAAGAAAAACGCGATTATATACGCGAATTTGTCAAAATAAATTTTTGCAGTTTTTCCCACATTCAAGGTACCTATATCCGCCGTTTTATTGGGCGGAATTGAACATGGATGGGCTCATTAGATCCGGCACGTAAAAAAACTAAATTCACACGGGGTTCCACGGAATTTGAGTGGACTTTCTAATTTTTAGACTCAAATAATATGTTTTTTATAAAAATTTACGCACCAAATTTTCGTCTTTGGAACCCAATTGCAAAGAAGCTACGGTGAGCACATTCATGAGATATACACCAAACGAAACAAAATCACGAGTTCTACAATCCTATAATTAGTTTAGTCCATTATCTGGATGCGCATCCTAATTATAAGAAAAATTCTAAAAACACCGAAAATCCGGCTTCAAAATGTCAGCATCCTTTTTGGGTGGATGCAGTGATTATATCGAAAAATCATACATTAGAACCATATTGTCCATGGGGTATTCTGCAACTTAGTCATTGATCACATGTGCGTGCGTTGTGTAGTTTAGCCGCAATTCAGGAACGAACACAAAAAAACTCGTTGGCTTCAACACATTTTCACCCATTTTTTTACATTACCACCACCACAGCTTCCACCAAACTTATTATTTATTACCAATATTTTAAGATTTTGACAAGAACACTTCATTTTATAGAAATGAATTTAAATTATATGCAATATGTTCATATTTCGCGAGTTATAACCTTGCAAACCTCAGCTTAAAGGAATTTAAAAGATTTTTGTAATTTCCCATATCTACCTTGGTAAACATTTTTCGGTTAATTAAGAAAATGTTGTCATCCATTTTCGCCGTTTTCAATTGATACACAAGTAAATAAAGTCCTTGCGTATTTGGGTAATACGGACGCTCAACAAACCCTATAAAGGTGAGAAGATGGGTATTTTAGTACGCAACGCACTGAATTTAGGTTATTCAGAAGCGAACCAATTTTAACCGCTTCAGTTGGTGACAATGACACAAGGTGGGACAATATGATGTGAACATGTTTTCAATGGATAACTAAAAAACCAAAAAATGAATAAACGGTTACTTCTTTCCAAAAATTCAGTAGGGAGTGCCATATAATTTGTTTCAAAGTACGGGCTTATACTAGACAATATCAATTGTCTCAATTCAATGGCCCGAATGGTCTAATCAGTTGATATTGATGTCGTATAAACCTTGTTATGATAAACTACACATTTCGGAACGTAAAACATATTTATTATCATTTTAAAATAAGTTTGCAGATTATTTTAATAAAAATAAAAATATTGGCTTAATCTATTTATTTGGTAAAGACATAAGGAAAATTCATCTACATGAACAAAATATTTAAAATATATTTGTTTCAAAATCTTTGGTTAAAATGTAAAAGAAATAAAAATAAAAGCTACCTTGGCAAGTTCAAGTACTTAATTGGGGCATTTATACGTTATACCCACTACAGCTTTGTAATAATTTTTGGTTCTACATTAGTAATATAGTATTACCATACATTGCTAATTGCACATACGTAACTCTGGACATATAATATTTTTGGTAATTTGGAACATACCATTTTGCTGCTTTGGTTCTTATATGTGAATTTTTTTAATAGCTACACTTTTGTGTTATATATAGCCAAGACAGCAAGTAATGGCTGCCATTTGTAGTATTATTCGAGAAGATAATTAATGATTAAAATAACCTTATAACCTAAAACTGTTGTAAATGAGTATTTTGGAATAGAGATTCGAATTGTAATTGCGCTCTTTCAACATTGCGAGGGAATTCCTTGAGTAATGGAATTCTCCAAAATAATGTGACAATCATCCAACGGCTCCAAAATCTGTATTAAGAAGGTCAAAAGATTTTTTCGACGTAGGAAACTTTCCTCCTCATACATCTCTTGTGTTACTTTAGTGACAGACATAGGTTTAATCATGCGTGTTAATAAGTGATCCCTGAAAATTAGAAACAATATTTTTTTTAATATGAGAATTGCAGTGTTACACAGCAAATAGATTACGCAAACCTCAGGCTGAGGCATATGAGTAATTGGAATTTTCCATCTTTGCCCAGGGTATTTCCAACTTTGTTTATTTCATCCATAAGCTGAATGTAATATCGCCATATAGCACTTAATTCCCTCCGTTGGTGGCTACTAGCGCTGCCGATGGATGAGTCTATGCTAGAACCAGACTCATCAAATTGTTGCTGCTCTTGTTGCAGATACAATTCAAATTGTTCTTTGATTTTAGCTATAGCAAAGATAAGATTGAAGTCATCTGTTTGCAATGTTAAATCCTTATACTTACTGAAATAGTCCCAAATGTAAAGATTCCGACCAAAAAATCTTGTTGAACGAAACCCGCAGAGAAATACGTTTTCTAGCGATTTAACAAGGCCGTCGTCGCCACACAATAAATTGGTGAGTGTACCGACATCGCGATCTCTGCTGGGTTTGTAGTGCCATTTCACAATGACATTAACACAATTACCTAGTCTGTGTTGGATATCCGAGATGGGTGGCAAGTCTTGACCACGCTGAATACTTGGGCTACGTGTTCGAGGAGGCGTATGGCATGACTGATCCATTTCACTTGCCTTAACATTCGTTGAGATTCGCTGACCTACCAAAAGCCGCTCGGTTGAATCATCATCAACGCCTTTACCCAACCAACGTCCGCAAGGAAACCTATGTCGAAAGTGAGAACATAATCTCAATATGGGAAACAAATATGGAAATAGTAACATACTTATAGGTATGTCCGGTTACTTCGTTGCGCATGACTACATGTTCTATAAGCCATTTGTTCGATGGACCTGCATTGTCATGGCCAATACGCATCGTAGTCATCAAACCCAAGTTTTTATACTTAAAATACAAATTAGAGATCAGTTTTAGTTGCACACACAGTATCAATAGTAAAGTAACGTACATGGAATATAAATTCGAGTGAACCCTTTGGCACAGGCACCTTCTGTGTTTCGTTTAGGGTTCCCGATACAACTATCCAAACATTACTCGACGTATGGTATGAACCATGTTTACGGGAAGGGAATATAACAACACGATATGGGAGTTCTATTTCAATACAAAAATGCGTATGTATAACGTTTGAATTCATGAGCATACGATTAACTTACTCGTTGCTGGATAAGTATTTGTGAACGAATAGTAATCCACCGTGTTCAATGTCAAAATGTGATATAGAAATTGTTCTTTCTCCTCATCACACCTTAAAAATGCCGATCGTTTATAAAGGGAACGCAAAAGAGCATCGTCGGACAGTAGCGTACGAAAGTGGCGTGACAACAATTTCTTCTCCAACGCTAAACGTACCCAGGCTCTGGTGTAACCAATTTGAGTTTTAATGTCTGCCATCGCCATGACATTTCTAAAATACAAATACGATTATGATCATGGTTGACATAATCCAACCAAAAACAAACATTACCGGACGTCAAATTCTATAGATTCTGGCAGAGGGCATAAATGTTCCAAACCAACAAATTTATTGCGATCTCTCGAACGACTTCGATTTGGGCTCGGTGGATTATCAAGATCACTCTGAAATGTAGACAAATCTAAAAAAGAAAAGAAACCAAAATGGTATTTAAAAACATAACTAAATTCACACATGAAACACAAAATATTTGTTAAATATTTATAGCTGATTTATCCTATATTTAGTTTCATATATTTTTATTTTTCGTATGTTTTAATTTGAATTTATAAATTGATTAATAATTAATCGTTAATTAATTTTTAACCTTTGGAGTAGTTCATGTATTGTTGTTTATGATATGATTAAGTGATATACTGTTAATTTTAAGCTTTTGGAGTAGTCCATGTAAAGAAGTTTTTGGAATCGCTCATGGCCCTTTGGGCTAGGTTTTCGCTTATGAATTAAATTGAATTGAAATAACAATAGCGCCATTGCCCGGAAAAATCATATCCAAATACTAATGCGTTATAGTCCAGTAATATTTACACAGTAACTCCTTTTGGGAGAGTAGGAGAGAGATGCAAATCGAAAGATATATAGGGACTTTGGTGCACCATTTACCTTAAATCGGACGAAATTATATATGGGAGCTATATCTAAATCTGAACCAATTTTTCCCAATTTCAATAGGGTTCGTCCTTGGGCCAAACAAGTGAGCTGTGCCAAATTTCATCCAATTCGGATCATAAATGCGACCTGTACTTTGTTTACAATTTAACACCAACAGACGGATAGACGGACATGCATAAATCGACTCAGAAAGTGATCCTATGCATATTCTCAAAAGGAAGAATGGGTCTATCTCGATTATTTTTGTATGTTATAAACATATGCACAAAGACATAATACCCTGTACCACAGTGTGGTGAAGGGTATAAAAACGCCATTAAGAGGTAACATTACGAACGAAAATTAAGAGAGTATCTAAAAATATATATTCCATACATGTCTCCAGCTTAAACAATGGGGTATAGCGGCATAAAAAAGTTAACACGGTGTCATAACAGTTTTATTTCAGAATTTTTGAATAACAACTTTTTTATGGAACTAAAGAGTATGGAAGGCACTAAGGATACATGAAAATATATCTTAAAATGTTTACATTATTAAATGTAGTACTTACAGTCCATACGTTTGCGCATAACATTCCAAGCCATAGCAGGGGCAGTTACATAGCTTGAAGTGGTGCCAATCTTATTATTTCCAGCGGCCTTCGGAGAGGATGCATTTGTATTCAAATGTGCATTGCTAACACTATTATTTGGTATAGAGTTCAATGAGCGTGTATCCTGTAACTCAACATAAGCTTGCAAATGAGTCCATAATGCAGATTTGCCCTGCTTTGTCTGTAATCCATGTGACCATATCTTTTCTAATAAATCGCACAGCGATGCTATTAGCGTGTTTTCCTCGATTCCATCGTTTTTACTTAGGCCTAAAGCAACCGCTTCAGTGCCCATTTTCTCCAACAGCATACGCTTTGTCTTGCTTTTTACATCCTGGAATCGTGATATTTTTCATACTGAATTTGACTTAGAATACCTAAAAATACATACCTTCAATAGCCTCTCCACAAAAGTCCAATTGGCTTGTGCGATCAACGCTGGACTTAACTCTGTATTGGTTAGATTAGCTGAAAGCCTATTTAGTGCATTATTTGTTGTTGGCTTTTGGTCAAAGTTTATCTCTTTGGTTCTCCATTTGTTTCCATTTTTTACGCGTCTTAAACTGTTACCTCTGTAATATTAGAAAACATATAGGAATATGGCAGAGATATTTGTGTGGCAGTTTTCAAATTTAAAATGTACAGTTATGCATTCGGAATCGACGATATCCATTACGGTTGCCATTCTATTAAGTACAGTTTGAATAACATGGTACCAATTTAACGTGTAAGAACAGTTTTTTTTTTGTCACTTTTTGTTATGTTTATTTTATATGGCTCTAACGAATATACTTATTTATTGTTGTTAAACAACTGAATTAAAACACAAATGTAATTAAAACGTAAACTTTGGGAATTACTCAAAATGAATTTCTAATTCGGCTGTATGTCTAAATAATGCAAAATATGTGTATCAATATCAATTGTATAAATAGGATACCATATGACAAAAAAGAAACGTACATTACTAATTTACTCCATGTATCATTAGTTCTAAAATGTGTAATTTACATTACATTCAATTTTTAAAGTTTTTGTTACAGATTGTATTGTACCTCCGACTTTTAAATGTCGCAAGTTTTATCGAATATTCTGACTACAAAATAAGGAATGTTTTTTTCGGATTAAATATATTAAATAATACTAAAACGTAATTTGTTGTTGCGATTTTGTGATAGTATCATACATTTTACACAATACCGGAAGAAATCGACTATAACAACATATATGAGGTGTGCTACAACAACAACAACCGTAAAAAGGAGATGAACCTTAGTTATATGTATCTAATCCAACGGTCTGTTGATAAAACTGTGAACGTTTTGTATCAACAACAAGTAGTTTATTCAAATTTTTGATATTGCGCAGTGCCATTTCTTAAGTACTAAAATGGTGATCATAGAATCAAACACGGAAAGATGTTGCGATCTACTACTTCTGGAATTTTCAAGGAATTTGAGTAAAATATGTCCAGCATGTGCGTGCTTTAGGTATTTATTTTATGCATTAGTATTAACATAAAAGCTAAGTGGAAGACAAAATAATGGTAAATAAATATCAGAAAAATAAATAACAGGTAATGTAAATGAACATAATTAAAGATCACTTTGGAATCGATAATAAAAAGCTAAATTCTATATTTATACTAAAAAGAAAACAATACATAAAAAATAATATCATACAGTGTAGTCATCAATTACATTCGTTCACTAAAACAATGCTATTGTAGTACACCCGCAACAATTAGTATCTATAATTTATAAAATGAGTATACAAATATTGTGATATAGGAGCGTAAGGAAAATAATCTACCTCGAAGTACATTCTTGATTTAGTACAGATTTTTCAAGAATGGGAAAGCTGCGGAAATAAGCTGCACGATTCGACAGTATTTCACTGGGTGGTGTTACTTCAATGTCCACACACGTAAGCCGTTTCTCAAAGACTTGTTGAGACTCCTGACTAACAACACAGGGTTCATAGCTCGTGGCACAAATCATATTTTCTCCATGACGTTTCCTACAAATGTAAAATGGTAATTATATAATATTTGTTATGAGTTTTTATCCTGGAAGGTATAGATAGACATTAATTATAAACAAATCACTATGAAAACACAGGCCGAAAGAATTCCAAAAAATCCCAACATAATACTCGTGTCAATGTGAATATGACAAGTCATGTTTTTAAAATGACCCGCAGGAAAATTTGGTAGGTGTAAAATGCGACATTGTTCTTTATTAAATGGGAAGATTTTAAGCAGTACATCTTTCTTCATAGCATGTTTATATCGCTTCCAGCATGTTCATATCGCTCATTTACTGCAAGATCGTATTCCCTTTTTTCTCTTTTCTCCAAAGCACACCAATAGTCTTGATTTAGATTAGGCGAGTTTACTTGCGGCAAGTCTTTGTTTGTAGGAGAGAGGGGCAAGGGGAATAGAAATGGAAAAAATTGCTCGTACCGACAATTTTCTGGCAATTCGTTTTGTGTATTTCGTATTTTTTGACATTTTATATTTATTTAAATGTGAAAAAACTATTTGAAACAAATATATATTTTTTTTTTTTGAAACCGAATTGCCTTGTATAGAAGTTCAAAAGAGAACGATAAGAATTGCCGCAAGTAAACTCGCCTAATCTAAACCAAGACTAAGTGTTGAGATACGATTAACACACCATTGGTATGTAATAAGAATGGTTTGAAAAATCCGAATTAAATCTTGTCTTCGTATTCCACAATATAGTTTTATTTGTTTCTCGAAATATTCTACATAAAGAAATATTATACTACCTTTTTAGAGATTTTGAAATACTTAAAATTTCTCGAATCTTCGAAGCTGCATATCAACTTAAATTTAAAATGAATGTATACTGCAGAAGAACTTTGATTTACTAATGACCTGCACTCCATTAAAATTGCCTGACCAGTCATATGCTTGACTTACCAACAATTTTGAATCCAAACCCAACCCGACTATTGTGTTTATTAAGATGGTCGATAGATCAAACCATTTCTACGTCCACGTAACAGAGGAAACATTCGTTGACTTTTGTAGATAGAAACTTGCAAAGTAGACAGACAACATGAAGTAGGATTTTACAAAATATCACATTATTTCACTTAAAATGTACTTCTGTATATAAGTAAAATTCATAAAATAAAAAAATGTATTAAAATACATCGAGTTATTCTGGATAAATATTAGTATGTCCTGATTTAGATTAGGCGAGTTTACTAGCGGCAATTATTATCGTTCTCTTTTGAACTTGCTTCATGCGTTTATACAAGGCAATTCGGTTTCAAAAATATTTCTTTTTTGAAAATATTCTTGATTGGTATTTCAAATTATTGACACTACAAACAAAATACACAAAACGAATTGCCAGAAAATTGTCGGTACGAGCAATTTTTTTCAATTTCTATTCCCCTTGCCCCTCTCTCCAGCAAACAAAAACTTGCCGCAAGTAAACTCGCCTAATTTAATTCAGACAAAATACACAAAACGAATTGAAAGAAAATTACCGGTACGAGCAATTTTTTCAATTTCTATTCCCCTTGCCCCTCTCTCCTTCAAACAAAGACTTGCCGCAACTAAACTCGCCTAATATAAATTGGGACTTACAAAAAGCCAAACGAATCCAAAAGAAAAATTTTAAACCAGAAACGAGACAGTGGTAATAGTCACATCGACAGATTGGGGGGCTTGTACGACCTCCTATTGGCTACTTCATTGGTGAAATTCGTACGAGCTACTGTGGGACATCAAATGGGATATCAATGGAGTGAATTATTGCCGTTTATGTAAGAATGAGGTAGAGTAAGAAATAATTGAACATATACTCTGTAGATGTCAATCGCTAAATAGCAGAAGACATCGATTGTTTGGCAAATATGAAATATATACTCTAGCATTCTCATCCGAAATAAATTCCAAGAATGTATAGCTTTGTCAAACTTTTGACGTGATTATAGCTTGAAGTTCGGAAATATAACGTGATCATTTTTATACATCGAATGAGATTTTTTTTGTAGAATATTCGTCATAATAACTCGTTTCTTTTTGTGTCCATTTTGTTCTTAATTTATTGAACCGAACTCCAATTATCTCAAAAAGCAAGGAAACAAATCCAAAAATTATATTGTGCTTTCTCAGAACAAAGCGGGACAGGAGTATGAAATTTACCGCGGATATGAATTCTATAGCATTTATTTTTCTCATGTTATTTGATGCATTGCGAAGTTTCTCGTTTATTTTTTTAATACATTTTTAATTAAACCAAATCATAAACTTACCTTAAAAGTTTAATTCTTTGATCAAACATTTTTAGATTAGGATCCGGTTCTTTGTCCCATATAGATAGTATTTTGTTGTCAACTAATGTAGCAAACATTTGAGATTCCAAAAATTGCGATAAAAATGGTCTGTGGTGCTCCGGCTGATCTGATAGAAACGAAGATTTGTCAAAATTCTGTATAGTCTCCCGGTTGCTTAACCATTCATCTCTGTCCTGGTTGGGATAAATGACGAAAAATTCGTAGGCGAAAAACATATGCACGAAACGATTTAGGAAAACTTCGCGTAAAGCATTATTAATTCGCAAGTCCTGGTAATATTGCTCTTCTGGACTTAGTTGTAGCGCCTGCGATTTAACATCCTTGTTGCGTGGTCGTGTTGGTGACGACATTGCAGAAGGTACAGATGCGGAAGCATCGACATAATCACCCACGGCTGATATTGGAGAAGATGGTCGTACATTTTTTCTTCTGAGAAAATCTGCGATGCGTGGAACATGATCAATTCTCGAGGGATGTGCCACTAGTGGTTGATAATGCAAATTGCCGTGGTTATTACCTTCAGGAGAAGAACCTAATGTATATACCGTTTCCTGTAGTTGTTGAAAACGTTCTTTGCTCCTGCGTGCGGCTTGCAAGCCACTCGGTAGTGTGCAACTACTCATCATAACGTCAGGGTCGCGAGTATAGCCATTCCTTAGGTTAGGTTCATTTATACGATCTCTCTCTATTTCAAATTTATCTAAAATTGAAATGATTTCTGCCATAAAATCCATTTTATGTGGAAAAACTGGCAACTCTTCTGGTAATTGTATGATTTTCTTATCAATGTCCACGAAACAAAGTGTCGCCTCAGAGCCAATTTTATTAGCTGCCTCGCATTCGGCATGCAAACCCATTACAAAGGGCACAGGAGCATCGAGAAAATGGTGCAGAGCAGCAGGTAGAATGGGTGCATATACATGTGGCCATACGAAAGGAAAGAGAATTGAAGTTATACACTCGCCGACAACCATTAGTTTTTGGTAATCTATAATCAAGCGCTTAAATACATATCGTATATAATCAATTGAGGTCGCAAATACATACCATTAGACCGAAGCAAAACTTGGTTTTCCAGTAAAACACATGTAAGTAGTTGTATAACGCACTCGACACCCAAGTAAGTGAAGAGTAATCTAAGAGAAAAATCCAGCAACGGCAGTTCTGAAGGTACATCCGGTCTCTGTAACGTTAAAGCTATCGGCGGCAAATGTGCTTCCGATGGAGGCAAGTAAATTCGAATAGATTTGCCGGGTTGTGGCAACATTACTTCGTATAGTATATTGTAGACATATGATTCGAGACTTATACCAGGACCCGGCTGGCGCGGAAGACATCTAAAAAAACAAGCGTTACCATTTGCATGTTAATACAAAAAAAGGATAATGGACACATACTTATATAGATTTCTTAAGAACACCTCAGCTGCAAACGCGTACGGCTGTTGGCATATCAAAGAAATACTTTTGGCAACATAGAGTTTGTCTTTTGTAATATCATAATAACTTTGTGCTGATTGTGGCGCTTGGCCAGCCACTTTGAAATGACGAGGCAAAGATCTGCTAACGGGACTATCTTTTATTCGGGATAACGAATGTGTCTGCTGTCCATTGGATAGTTCGGTAATGAACATGGACTGCAAAACAATAATATTAGTTGTAATTGCGTCACTACCAATTCTATCGTACGTATGTGGATTACCTGTAGCGTATGCATGGCACTGCATATGTCTCTATTGCGTATTTCTTCGTAAAATACAAGACTAAATCCATAACAGCGCTTACCATCTTCTCTAGTTGTTGCAAAGGAATGAAACTTTGGTTCAATGTTATGCTTTTGCGTCCGAAAGCGTAAACCTTGCGGCAGCGACAACTAAAGACCAACGTAATTATTACTAGATATTTTGTTAGCATTTACAGGGACTTTGAACTTGAACTTACCATACAAATTCCGTGTGAATCAAAGGGATTCCATGGCACATTCTCCGGGTAATGTGCCAACGGCTTACTCTTATATGCTCGATCTAGTGGGGAGCACTGCAAATTATCACCTAAAAAAACAGGATTATTATTTGTCCACCAAAGGGCACGTCGTCAGTCTCGTATCTTACCAGCAAATCTATCCGGCTCTAAACCAGTATCCAAATCTAAACCACATATCACAAAGTAATCAGCGAATCGAGAAAACTGTGGGTCACAATCCTTTTTCATTTGCCGTAAATCAGCCGAACCCTGCAAATCTTGAGTTGTAGGCGATGTTGGTGATGTCGACGACAGAGAACTGGGTGATGTGGGATTTCCCGAATCATTTGTTAGTGAGGAAGTGCTTAGAGTAGACGGTGCAGGAACTTCTTGCTGACCATGAGAATGAATGGTTTTTAATTTTCTCATTGTAACAAATTTTGTTTTATTGATGCCAGCGCCACCACCATCGCTTACGGCTATGTCCCTTGTTTCTAGTTGTGACATCGTTCGATCTGTTGTTGACGTGGATGGGGATGCTGTTTTAATAGTCAAACTCTTCGACATACGTTTGGCTACATTGTCCGACATTGTCCGGTTTGTCGCAGCAAATATTTGGTTTTTTTATTTTCTTCTGAAATGCCAATTAATTAAATACTCCAATTGGATTTGGTACTAGTATGGCATAAGCCCCAGTTGAAACAATTAATCCATGTCTTCTCAGGCTGTTCAACACTTGAACGAAAAAATATCTATCTAGATTTTTTTATGTATTGGCGATGTTTGCTTCGCGAATACTCTAATTAACGAATTTTTCTCAAATGTGTCAAGGACGTAATATTTTCTTTTCTTTCTTTTGGATACGCCAGAGTCGAGTCCCGATATTTACCAGATATTATTGGAAAGAGTACAATTATATTTTTTTTTCTATTTTCTAAAACGACCCATTGTAATAAAAAATTCTCACGACCCATTTATAGTGCGTAAATAACTTAAATTAATTTGTGCACTATAATACGTGCGAAAATGTAAAAATCGTGTGTTGTACTTACATTTATTCTAGTTATTTACTTATATGTTTTCTTTTTACTTGAAATAATGAAAAATTTATCCGTCAATCAATCAGATACAGAATGGGTCGTGTCAGAAGCAAAAATGAAAAACGTTCCACCTGCTACGAATGGGAGGAGAAGACAAAATTGCCAATAAAGAAGAGCTCAAAGTGGTATAAGGGAAAGTTTACGAATGCTGTGGGAGAGAGAAAAACCGTGTTGTTTACGAATGAGGTTTAGGCAAATTCGAATACTCGATTAATCGATTTTTGTATTGATAACATTGAACGATAAATCAAAAAGCCCCAGTGGTGCACGGCATATTTAATAAGGTAGCCGCATCAGAACATTTGTTGGTACAATTAAGGGTGCTTAAACACAATTTGTTTTTTTAATTACTCTCTCAAGAGAGAGAAACTCTCAACACCGATCCCGATCCAGACAAATATAAAACCACACTTATTAAATGTCCTCCCGTATTCATTTTACTCAATCTGCCTGTTGGGAAAGTTTGAGGAAACAAATCTTTCTTCATTGAATAACTCGCAATTCCCTGCATTTTGATATGTGTTACACTTATATGTTGCAATGGCTCAATTATAGGAAAGATTTGGAAGCGATAGAAATATAAATTTGATAGATTTTCATTCATGTTTTCCAAATTTTATTTTGAGGATCCGAAAATATTTAATTTTCAAAATAAATATAATTTATGTTTGTTTACATTTTTCTGTCAAATGACGTTGACACTAGTATAACTTACAAAACAAATTTCCATGTGGTTGTTGTATCGTTTGTTGTACAACAACACTTGCTGTTACCTTCTATTATTATACCGTGGCTACAAGACAGGCATAGCTCAAAAAACGTGATTTTCGAGTTAATGATGCACGATTGTTCGCTATAATAGACCTCATGTTGTGTAAAAAATTCATATGAATATCTCTTACACACTCTAATTGAGAAGCTGTACACGTTCCTCTGTCCCATATAAAGTGTGAGTAAATTGAAAACATAAAACATTTTTGACTTAATTCGAATCTACACTAATTTAAGAATGTCCCTACAAAATTTCAAGTGAAAATCTCAAGAACTCTTGAAGATATAGCTGATTTATTCTGCCAGCATCAAGTGACGGTTGAAGGGCTTCTCAAACTTTAAACGCGTTTTTCTCTAAACGAATGGCGGGCACGATAACTCAAAAATTATTGACCCAATCGATAACGATAATCGAATCGGTGAATAACTTCCTTATTTTTTAACTTGGTTTTTGGTCAAAAATCGGCGAATTTCCAAAAATATTTTTTTAAAAGTCCGCCATTTTGTTAATTTTAGAGCGAAGTTAATAATCATCAATCAATAATCAGTTCATACGAGAGCCAGACATGTACTCTTTCTAACACCGTTGGAGTTTTCGGATTCCGATGTTCCAGTGAGGAGTTATGCCCTTTAATTACAAAAAACAACAACAATAACAAAATTTTTTTGTAAATTATTTTTTTCTCTTTTACATCTTCAAATATATATATGCAAAGTTACATGCCTTAACAAGCATTGGTATTGATTTAACAGCACTTTGAAAATCTTGAAAAATTAAAAGTGAGAGATCATTATCAGTAATGAAGGGCTAAGCAAAATGCTCGCGTTAAGCCATCCGTCGCGTTTTATGTTATCAAAAATACAACAACCACAAGGAAACATATGCGTTTGTGTTATCGTTTCCTTGTGGTTGTTGTATTTTCGATAACATATAACGCGACGGATGGCTCAACGCGAGCATTCTGCTTAGCCCTTGAGAGTTAAATATATTTTAACTTTTTGAGTGCGTTAACGCGATAACAAAAACCGCTCAATGCAAACATTCTGCGTAGCCCTTAATAAACACATTTAAACGGTCTAGCGAGTACTCGCAGAATGTTCTCTCTTTTTTGTACGCGACCACACCATATGTAAGTTTCCGATGTTTCTTTGCTATTAACTATTAATCGATTTTTTTAGCATCCTGTATTTTATAGATCCCTACTAATAAGATGGCGTTATTAGTTTTTTGCACGAGTGAAGAAAAAGTACATGTCGATATTCGCCGATTGAAAAAGGAAAATCAGATTTTTTGGAAAAAAGATTCTATGAAATTACCATTTTTGTGCGCGACCACACCATATGTAAGTTATCGATGTTTCTTTGCTATTAACTATTAATCGATTTTTGAGCACCCTGTATTTTATAGATCCCTACTAATCAGGGATGGAAAATAAAAAATGTGAAAAGGTACCAAAAGAATACTTTTTTTAATAAAATAGTACTTTTTTCAAGAAAATACAAAAAAAAAAAACATTTTATTCAGTTTCATAAAGATCGATTTTCAAGATATCACTTAGTGTATCTTTGTGATGGTAATAACGTGAAAATTCTTGCTTCTTTCGATTGCATTTGAATATTTATGCTATTGACTAATTTTAATTTCACTACCTCTTTCTCAAACGTCGATATACCCCAAACTAACATGAATTTCAGTTCCAAAGTGCTCTTGAAATTATTGAAGTAATCTCGACGACTAGGAATGTCATCAATTTGCCTACCTCAGGAGGTAGCACAGAGTATGCCAAATTGGGTATCTGACAAACATATATATATATAAAATTGGAACTCGTAATGTTTGTAAGTTTAATCATAACTTAACAATTATCAGTCGAAAACCTGTTCATTTTTTTTCAAGAGAAACATTACAATCACATCAATATCTTTATCTGCATACTTTTGTCGGTTAAATCCATAACAAATTCTAATACAAAAAAATAAAATCATGGTTTAATAAGGATTGGAATGGTACTGAAATGGTCACGGTGTTACTACTGTAATTTTTTGGGTATAAAGGTACTGAAAAAATTACTATTGTGCTGAATTTTCCATCCCTGCTACTAATAAGATGGCAAGATGGCGTTATTAGTTTTTTTGCACGAGTGAAGAAAGAGTACATGTCGATATACGCCGATTGAAAAAGAAAATCAGATTTTTTTGAAAAAAGAAGATTCTATGAAATTACCGCGTCGGAAACTTTTTCCTCTGGTGACGCTTGAATAATAATTTTCAGTTCTGGTGCGATAGAAAGGAACAAGCCAACATGGCTGGTGGCAATGGGCCATGCGTGATACAAGTCACAAATATAGCACCACAAGCAACAAAGGATCAGATGCAGGCGCTGTTTGGAAACATTGGGAAAATCGAGGAAATCCGTCTCTATCCAACTGTGCGCGATGTCTCATGCCCTGTGCAATCACGCATATGCTATGTGAAATATTTCGAGAGTAGCTGTGTTGCGGTGGCACAACATTTGACGAACACGGTTTTTATTGACCGTGCTCTGATCGTCATACCAGTATTGGCTATTCCGGAGGAATATAGGGCACTGGAAATGTCAAAGAATGGGACTATAGTTCCAGGTCTGCAAAAGCCCGATTCCAAGCTTCCTCCAGAAGTAGTGAACCGAATTGAGGGGCAGTCGCCTCAGCAGGTATGTTAGGAATTATGTATATTTTCTTAATATGTAGTAAAACGGCATTGTATCATTAGGTTATAAAAACATACGATCCCAAACTGGTGGAGAATAACTTGCCGGAATATCCCGCTCTGCCATCATTTTATGATTCGCGCAAAATTGAAGAAATAAGACGTACCATTTTGGTTTGTGATGTTAAAAACGAGTGGCGTTTAGATGACCTCATGGATTATTTCCAACGAGCAGGGGAGGTTAAATATGCTCGCTGGGCTGAAAAGGACAACAAGACCTACTGCATGATAGAATTCTGCGATCAACCTAGCATCATCAACGCTTTGAAGATGCACGGCCACGAATTTAAGGGTGGGTATCTTAGTGTGTATCACTCGACAGACGCTATTGTAAAACCAGAAGCCAAGTCGAATGAAGCAGCTCAGAAGGAGATAGAAGAAGCTATGACAATTGTGAAAGAAGCGCAAAACATGATATCAGCTGCAATAGATCCTGTAATCGGTATGTTGGCAAAGGACAAAAGACGTAGGTCCCGCTCCCGGTCACGATCCAGGGATCGCCGTACAAGCCGCTCGCGTTCACATCGCTCACGATCACGAAAACGCTCGCGTTCTCGTACGCGAAGGCGTTCACGAAGTAAATCTAAACGACGATCACGTTCACGTTCAAGACGGTCCCGTTCCCGTAAGCGATCACGATCTCATAAGCGTTCCCGTTCTAGGCGCAAGAGCCGTTCGCGTTCTAGATCGAAACGACGATCAAGATCTCGCGATCGTCGTAGCAAAAGATCACGTTCTCGCCATCGTCGTAGTTCGTCACGTTCACGACGTTCACGTTCGCGCACAAAACGTTCACGTTCTCGTGACCGTAAACGATCCCATCGCACACGCGAAGAGAAACGGACATCGCGGTCTTCCCGATCCCACAGTAAACGTTGCTCTATTTCACCATCACCAGCTTCAGTGCGCTCTCGTTCTAGCCGCAGCAAAGATATTGGGCCTCCTACCTCCAAAGCATCTCATAATAATAATTCGTCGAAACGTCGCTCACGCACTCCTGCTGATCGCAAGTTGAAAACTATTATCGAAGACGATGTGAAGAGCACAAGATCAAGTGTTGACTCAAAGATTCGCAAATCAGACAGCGTCGAAAAATCGGACAACATGGACATTTCCAATTCACCATGAATATATTTATATTATTTCCCACTAGAATTGACGATTTTCAATTTTATCTGTAAGGTTGAAGACTATTGGTTTACTTTTTGCAGCGTTCGCATTTACGTTTTATCTTAATTGAAGATAATACATATTTCATACCTACATTAATATAAAAATAGCAAGAACGAAGAAACTATACGTTTTACTACGTTTAATAAAGGCATGAAAGCTTAAATTCGTCGTCAAAACATCTTTAATTTTAAAATACTGTAATTCTATGTAATATTTTTGGTTTCCCTTCGTACCGTTGTTAGCTTAATTTGATTTCATTTGCAATAGAAAACTGAACTCAAAATAAAGCTAATATAAGTACCTAAAAGGCGTTTTATTAACGATAGGTATAAGTTTGCTTGATTAATTACAAATTGGTTGATAATGTAATGTAGGCTCTGTTGCAGGTCTGCAGTTTCCTTCTCCAATCCTATAAAAAACGCTATAAGCGTGGTTCATTTCATTCCGAACGATATAAACTATTCGCACAAACGCTATAACGCCTATTTATTTTTGGACATTTTTGAAAGAAATGAATGCGGTACTTTCTTTCAAAAATGTTGAAAAACGAAACAATTTCATATCGGGTATACGAATTTATTCAGGTTGGCTTTGTTCGCCAAAAATTGCAAAAAATTGTATTATGTACCACTAGGCCAATTTCTGTATTTCGGATATTTTATTTTCTTATTTTTCCAACATGAGTTTTCTGTGCAGACAAATTCTTAATGTTTGAATACCATGTGTCGAATTGTGAGAGAATATTCGGCTTCCATTGACGGATATTCCTAAACCTAAAGGATACATTACCCAAATATTTGACGGTACACTCTTAATTTCGTCATTTTGCTATATACATATGTGTTAGAACTTCATTCACTGACTTCATTATTAATTGGGATGTTTTGTGCATATGCGTGCAATGTTGCTAATTCTATGTCAAGCAAATTCAATTTAAAAATTAATAAATCGACATCAATTCCCGGTGAATTTATTCGCTCTTTCCTTAAAACTTATTCTGAAAAACAACTTGCAGTGATTTTTTCGCATTCCTTTTTCCTTATTCTGAATAAATTTTGAAAGCGAAGAAAGTCGCTATGGGAAAAAATTAGTTATTCAGGATTACAGAGAATGGGAGAATATGGTGGCATTTTTAGGAGAAGGTAACATATATACGGGTCTATTAATTAACTTTCATGGGTTTAGTATTGCTTTGCTATACCTTTAGCAAATGAAAATAAAGTGAGAACGAACTTAACTCCAGTTCTATAAATACATCAGAAAAATTATTAATAGGTTACTGAGTAAAAATTGAAAATATCGAACAATATCCAGTAAAATACACTAGAAATCAAATATATGTTTCACAATTTGGAGTTAAGAAATCAGATACAAAATAATAAATTTTAATAAACATATTTCATGCTATTATATATCGCATATTGCTTAATATCTCCAAAAATTAAAATATTCTGATTATAGTAAGTGAAGCAAATGCTGCTCTCTTCGATTCTATTTTGAATTTCTTTCCTTCCCCTCATCAGACTTTCTTGCAAAAGTTGAATGTATAAACCCAAACAAAATAAATTGATTGTTGTCAAATTTGCTTAAGTTTATGAAAATAAAAAGTACAACTAAAGGCAAAATTTTAAATTTTATAAAATTTGGAGCTGTTTTAAAAAGATAACCTTCCTTGAGTAATTGTACCATGGTTGTTGTTGTAGCAGCCTTATTGTGTTTACACAATGGGCTGAGGTGACAGACGTTGGCCGAGTAAGACTCGGGTCGTTTCGGATCGTAGACCCCAAGATCTATTAATAAGAGGTTCGTTCGTTTACTTTCCCAGTAATATTTACTCAGTAAGAATTTGCAGAGAGTAAATACGAATTTTTCCTTTTCAAGAGAGAAAACTGCAAAAAGTAAACGAACAACATCCAGTAAAAAGATTGTTTCGACACAGCTGATTAAAACAACAAACAAATTGGCGCAAACTATAAGACAGCATTTTTATTAGAAAAATGGATAACAAGCGGAAAATTGATGTTGTTTGTTCCCCATAAACATTTAAAAGGGTTGTGACCTGTTATTCCTGTATCTGCAATTGATATGGGGGTGGACATAACCGATGGTGTTCCAGACATGTTAGGGATGCACACTTTTTTGTTTCGATTTGGAACCTAAAAAATCGTTCGCCAATTACTCTTATTACTCTTATTTTTAAATACTTGCGTTTTCTTCATCCATTTTGGTATTTAATGATACAAAATCAAAATAAAATTCACAAAACAATCAATTTTCTTGAGAACAATTTTTTGTTTGTTTACAAAACATAACAAAACAGCTGATTAAATATCAGCTGATGGTACAAGAAAATTCTTACTGAGTAAATTTTCCTTGTAAGAATTTGCAAATACTCAGTAACACAACTGTCAAATCTGCTCTCTCAATTCACTCTCTTTTACTGGACTTTTGGGTAAACGAACAACATTTTGTAATAATTTGTACAAATTCGTACAAATTATTGAGTAAACGAACGAACCTAAGGTCACCAAGATAGCAATCGAAATCGGAAAACAGCAGTTTTTAAATAAGGTCACCAAGGGAGACCAGCTGATTATCGATACCTCTCAAGTTTGCTGTCAAAATGCATTATTGTGAATTGACTTCCATTATGAAAACGTAAACAAAGTCGAAATTTTTGACATTAGACTTGAGAAAAAACAGCTGTTTTCCGATTTCGATTGCTATCTTGGTGACCTTATTAATAGATCTTGGATTGTGCCATGGTTGTATCCAGGATCTATTAATAAGGTGGTTGTTTCCATGGCCTATAAATAATGTTATATTAGTTACGCATTTTTGCATTTATTAAATAAACCTTGTAGTTACGTCTTTTTGGTTTTTGGCCGCAGACGTGTAAAACTTTGTCAACACATGTAGTTTATTGACATTCACAATATTCATTCAAAAAGTCAATTTTAAATTTTTTGTTAGTTACGCCTTTTTGCATTTTAGCTAACGAATCTTTAATAATATGAATCTTTAATAAATAAAAAAATATTGTTACGAATATAACTTTAGATTTAAGTTAATTTAGATGAATTCCGTTAATTTAAGAATTTGAATTGTAACGTAAATTTCTACTACGCAGTTTATTAGAACAACAACTACTGTATAGATTTTTCTACATCCTTCCATTTCCTCTTTCATTTTCTATTTTGTTGTTGACGTACAATTCTTGTTAAACGTCATCATTGATGCTCGCTTAATTCCTCTTTCTTCGTTACTCCCTCGCCTGTATATGTGTTGTTGTTATTGTTCACTCAATGTAAGTTTGTATGTGTTTGTTCCATTGGTAGATTGTTCGAAGTCTAGGTGTTACCAGATCGTCTAGAAACTTCTGTAGCGACAGGCAGGGCTCATATAAATAGGGGGAATGGCAAGGCAGTTAGTCAGTTGTGAATCAGATCGCGAATTGAAACCGTCAAGTAACGTAAAGCTGTAAAGTGAAGTGCAAGGTAAAGTGTGTCAATAAACTCATTGTAATAATCGTAATCAGAAAGAACCCGCGTTTTACTGGGAAAATAAAACAACGTCTACACGGGATTAAGTAAAATCCAAGAACGTAACAATATTGTTATATCATGGTTATGAGGATTTATTTGACATATGTGCAATCGAATTGACAATTTATCAGCAAATTTTACCATTATTTATCATACAAATTTAAACCATCATAAATCAGGATTTATTTAATTTCATGAACCAAATCATGACACCAATGAGATGCAACGTCAATGAATAATTAAAGAAAATAAAAATATTAATAATATAGTTGTGTTTACCAAGTATTTATTTATTTTTTTTTTCAAATTATAAAAAGATTTCAAACGTCAGCTGATTGAGATTTAGATCGTGATTAATGCCATGTACAGACGAGCGTTGTTCGCTCTCTCACTGGTTGCTCGACCCTTAATTATGAAGTAATTACTTAGTTCCCCATACAAAATTGTCTGAGCGAACATGTACATTGTTCAATTCGAATCACTCTTTAAATAACGAAGAAATATGTCCCATCCCTAACAATTGAATGTATTTATCGAAAATAAATTAATTTTGAAAGCATGAAAATATTTATAAAATTTTCAAACTTTTTCAGTAAAATGGAAAATGATGAATGAAAAGTAAAAAATTCTATAGTTTTTATATATGCAGCAGGATGTAAATTTTGTTTTCTACATAATGCAATATGCATTTCCTTCCCATTGGTTCTAATTATCGTACAAAACAAGAAACAAATGTGTGGAAACTCAAACAAAAAATTCTCCAAATTTTTATGTGTGACATTTGAGATTTCGGTGTAAAAGGAGAAAAAAACATATTTGAAAAAAAAAAAAATTCTGATGACATGAATTAAGAATAGTGTTGTATGAACGGGTTAATTCATGCAGGTAATTCTGAGAGCGAACTACGTTGTTCGAATGCTCGTCAGAACATGGTATAAGGGTATGTGCAAACAAATAGGGTGTATCAAGGCCAGAGATGGCCTGTCAGAAACAGTGACGTAAATGACATACATTTCCGACGTATAATACATACGTCAGAAACGTCGGAAACCTACCTAAATCCATTAGGGTTTTGACAAAATAGCTATTTCCATTAATCAATTTGGGAATTACGCTTTTACTTTTTTACTTTTATGCTTTACTCAAATCGATATAAAATTTCAAAATTTTCTTCTCAAAAAAATTTAGAAATTTTTATCAGTTCTTGTAAGGAATAGTCAGATATATGTAAAAATAATATATATTCTTGAAAATAACTGTATATGATGATAATATTGATATAAATGACGTTTACTACGTTTATTACATTTTATACAGGTATATGACGTTTTCGACGTTTACACCTTTTTGACAGTCGAAAACCTAAAAATTCGTCACACGGACCATCCCTGATCAAGGCGTATTTAATAAG